TGGTCAACCTGTTCTTCATATCAGGATGCAACGATGCTCCAATCTTGACTTCCTTTGGCTCCTCTTCTGAACTAAAATTGATTGTCTCCAATGACTCTTTATACGGCTGAATGGAATTTTCCTCGTGCTCGAGCAACCGTGAAACCTCTTCTGGAATCTCATCATATTCTTCTTCTTCCATCCCAAACACGGGATATTCAAAGTTGAGAGAGAGTGCAGGGTCATTGTATTCAACATGTTTATTAGTTAATCTGCAAATGTGATTTATGATTGCTTTTTAGAAACTGACACATATATCAAGTGATCATGCAAATTTATTTATAGTTATTATTTATTCCAAAAAGGGTTTTTTCTGATTACCATTTTCCATGAAAAAGCAGAAAAATAAAAGACACAATTTTGAGAATCAAAGACAACTTTTGTTTATGATTTTAATGATCAAAGCAAACAGATAAGCCCATACAATATTAACTTTCTTCTTGGGAATAATGAAAGCCTTTTTGCAAATAAGAAAAAAATTACTTTGAGATATGGATGCAAGAGGGAACATCATAAGTACCCGAGTTCTGGATTCTGACTCCAGGCGTCACATTAATCGGCATTTCCTGATCTTCTTCATCCTCCTCATCAACATTAACTCTAGAAACAGTTGGATGGAGGTAACCTCCGCTACGGAAAACGCCATGATAGCTGCTCATAGTAGAATTTGACTTCAAACTTTCGCCTTTGCCATTCTTTGCAGAGAATCCTAAACCAGTCCTATTCTTATTCACTGGAGGATCAACGACCTGTCCCTATACATTACTTGGACCATTGCGCACAACCTGCCGAGCATCCTTGAACGAAGCCATATAATTCTTATTCTCTTACGTTATCAAGAGATAGAGCTTGGAAATGCGTCCCAACAACAGCTTCATCTGCCTCCACAACACTGAAAGATGATATATGAGATATCAGCAATGCTTGCTCTCCATTTATAATAACCACTTTGCCTTCAGGCACGAATTTCAGCTTTTGGTGTAGAGTGGAGGTGACAGCTCCTGCTTCATGTATCCATGGTCTTCCAAGTAAAAAACTATTTGTGGGTACAATATCCATGACTTGGAAAGTGATCTGGAACAGATGCAGACCTATATGAATAGGCAGACCGGCCTCCCTAACAATTGACTTCCTTGAACCATTAAAAGCTTTGAAAATAATACCACTTGGGTGCATAGGAGCCCCTTGATATTTTAACTTCATCAGTGTACTCCTCGGTATCACATTCAAGGCATATCTATTATCAATCAGCACATTTAATAGTGAATCGCTTTTACAGTTCATGGATATGTGGAGAGCCAAATTGTGATTCCTCCCCTCGCCAGACAATTCATCACCGCAAAAGCTTAGGTTATCACATGATGTAATATTACCTACCACACTGTTGAATTGATCTAATGGCATGTCATATTCCATGAAGGCCTGGTCCAACACCCCCATTAAAGATTCTCTATGGGCAGCGAAATTCATCAATAATGCCAAGATAGATATCTTTAAAGGAGTCTGCAATAATTGATCCATAATTCGGTAGTCACTCATTTTGATTATCTTCAAAATATCATCTACGTCCTTCTCCAGGGTAGTACCACTGGATTCCTCTGCAGCCTTCTTATCTTCAACACTTTCCACAACCTTCTTACCAGCATTATCATTTCCCAAATAACTGGTGCAAACACACAATCATTATGGGTCACTCTACTAGTCTCAACAATATTTCAAACAGTATACAAAGTCTGAATGGGAACTTCCACACATCCTCTAAAATCGTAGCATTATAATTGTACGGTACAACTTTGTCGGATTTGTAAGGAACGAGCCTCGACAAGAAAATAACTACGGGGGCAGCAACTGGCTTGCTACAATATTCAATTTCAACAGGGGAAAAATCACTGAAACACAACACAATCACATTCACACCTTCTTCAGAAAATTTTGACATCAAAGAATCATCGCTGGAGAACATACCCTCATCTAAGGAAAAGAATTCATCCGCGAAAGCATATTCATCATCTGATTCTTTCTCAGTCAAACAAAACTCAATCTTATTAACCTCATGGTAATCATCTCTTTGGCTTGAAACCTTGATAGTTCCATTATCCAATAACAACTGAATACCTTTTCTCACAATTAAACATCCTTGGGAGTCCTTGCAGCAAACCCGACAAGATCCATAGTGGTGCTCTACCTGACCAGCAATGTGGCAGAAAGTAGCATGCAATTGTACGAGATAACCATTCATATGTTCCCTATCAAAGATCCTGAATTCTCTAGGACATCCAAAGACCATTTTTACTTCCTCCTCATACTCTGCCTTAGGCCTAATTATATGGATGAGGCCCCCATCCATCATCTCCTGCAAATTAGCCTTTATCTTATCACAACCTTGTATATTAATACTACAGATGTCACGACCAGCATGGTCATGAGTATAGTAGCTAAACTCGCAAAGGTCTACATGTATCTTTACCAAGTATCCTCTAACCAAGTTAATATCATAAATGCGGAAGTCCCCTGGAAAACCAGCAACCCTGTTAACAACATTCGCTCCTCTGTGTTTTGGGAGAGGATTATCTTTTACATTAGGACTGACATCTTTGAAGGACAAAAGACCAGATATAACCATTTTCTATACCTCGGACTTCATAGGATAAAATATTTCTACATTACGCCATGGTGCACCCGGATGGAAAGAGCACGCTTGATCTACCTTGTAGTACCAAAGTAAAGGGGATGGTATAGCAGAAGGTGGCCTAGTCTGGACCAACTTTTTCTAGATCAATGCTGGGAGTAGCTCTGCATAACTCATAGGGATAGAGTCAAAAGGCTCTCTTCTCTGATTCTTCCCTTGACTTCCCTGAGGGGCTGGTCTTTGATAAGCAACTATAGTCGGAGCCGTATTTACAACCGGAGTTACCGAGGTAACCTGTTGATGGCGCTGATGATTTCTTCTAGAGGGATTAACCCTTCTCTCTTGAAAAACAACATTTGTCTCCCCCTTCTCTTCTTAACAAATCCATATGATGGCTTCTTCACATTGCTAAAACCTTCACTTTTTGTCAGACGACCTTCTCTTACAGCCTCTTCGAAACGGACACCCATTCCCACGATTTCAGTAAACTCACTGAGCACACTCACCATAATTCTTTCATAGTAGAATGCACCTAGTGTCTTTAGTAAAATATTTTCCATCTCTTTCTCTTCCATTGAAGGAATCACTTGGGCGGCTACCTCATGCCATCTTTGTGCATATTCTTTAAATGATTCCTTGTCCTTCTGAACCATGGCTCTGAGTTGATCACGGCCAGGCGCCATGTTCACATTGTATTTATATTGTCTGATAAATGCTTTACCCAAGTCATTAAAAGAATGAATGTTGGCACTGTCCAGGCTCATGTACCATTTCAACGCTGCACCGGTTAAACTATCTTGAAAGAAATGAATCAACAAGTGTTCATCAACTGTATGAGTAGACATTCTCCTTACATACATCACCAAATGAGCATGAGGGCAAGTGTTTCCCTTTTACTTTTCGAACTTTGGTACTTTGAACTTTGCAGGTATTTTCATATTTGGAACCAAGCACATATCATTCACATTTTGCCCAAACAACTCTTTTCCTCTAAAGGCCTTCAACTATTTCTGCATCTTATCAAACTGGTCTTGAAAATCATCCATTTGACACTAGTGCAGAAATGACTTTTTACATCGGGTGAAATTGACTTTTTACATCGGTTTTGGGTCCGATGTAAAGTCAGGCGATATAGTAAATCAGGGACTTTTTACATCGGTTCTGGGACCGATGTAAAAAGTCCCTTTTTACATCGGTTATAATATCAGAACCGATGTAATAACCTGTTATTATGCACATTTTTTAAAAAATTGATCTAGTTTTTTACATTGGTTGGAAGTAATACCCGATGTAAAAAGTACCTTTTTTACATCGGTTATAATATATGAATCGATGTAAGAAACAATTATTATGCACATTTTTTTGAAAAATTGATCCAGTTTTTTACATCGGTTGGAAGTAATACCTGATGTAAAAAGTCCCCAGTGACGCGACTTTTTACATCGGTTATTATCTCCAACCGATGTAAAAAGTCCCTTTTTGAAAGTTTTTACATCAGTTTTTACTAATAATCGATGTAAAATGTATGAAATTTTTTTGGAATAGATTATTTATTTTCTGGGTTTCCCTATACAAATATAATTTGTACCCATTTTTTCATATTTTTCCAATATCAAACAGACTATATTTATGTCGCTATATAGATTTCATAGCTTTCCAACATCACATATATCACATTTAGGACGATGTTTTCATATTTTTCACAACAAACTTACAAATTGAACAATTGTATTGCAAACTTGTATTGTATTACAACATATAAACTTACAATTACAAATTCTTCACAAAATATAAAACAATATTCAACTATTTATAAGTCTTTTTCAAAACTTACAATTACATAATATTCACAAAATATACATATACTAAAATATTCAACTATTTCTAAGTTTCCAAACTTGAATTACCAATATAAAATCTTCGGTAGACAACACCAAAATCATATTGCCTGACAATAAATAATAACAATTAACATCAGCAAAAAAATCAAGAAACTCAACACATGAGCAAAAACCACATGTATTGTGCAAAAACCACAACTTATACAATTCTATAAAACTCACCAAGCTAAACTTAAGTTCCATGTAAGTCAAAGAAACATTTTGCCCAAACTCATAGACTTCCTGGAATACTATCATCAGTTCTATATACAGCTGGAGAAGCAACAGGAATTTCAAGTAGCGAGCAATAGTCAATGAAAACTAGCGACATAAGGTACACTCTCAAGCACTCATGCACAAAAGGGAGAACAAAACATTTGTTTTATTGTTCCAATAATATGACCATAATCTTCATCTTTCCTAAACAATCAAGATCTTCTTAAGTGGATTGATTAATAGTAAAACCGCAAAGTAAAACACAAATGAAAAATCAACATCAGTATGAGCAAAAACTTCTTTGCTCCCGCAAGTAACCTCACAACTTCAAAACCAATCTGAAGTATTATTGTCATCAAAGAAGTGGGATATGGTGAAAGTGCTACATGCCATTCCATTAAAACAAAAGGTAAATCAGAACAAGATTGTACCTGTGGACCTTCTGGATCACCTAAAAGAGTGTCCCAAATGTGAAGGCTATCGGCAAAATTGAACTCCTGAGTCAACAAGAGAGTGATCCATCTAAATGCATAAAATTGGGGATTGACCTGATATTCAGAAGAAAAATGAGCCATTTCTGATACTGCTTAATAGCCAAAAGAAAATACATGGCTGAATAATTATACAAGCATGCAAAAAAGGTATTAACATAATGGTCAAAATAACATTGGTAACACAAGATCACAGAGGGTAATAATATCACTAAAGCAATGAAGTAGGAAAAAACCCACTTTTTTTATATTACATATTTAGTTTATTTAACAAATTTAATATAACAGAGAAGTGAACAAAGTCCACAAACAATTGCATAACAGTAGATACCATAAAATGAAAACCAAAATTAAATAGCAAACTGCAGTATCAAGAGCCATAATAGTTCAAAATATAAGCACAACCTACTCAATATATGTCTAAATGTATACTAAAAGCAAAACTGTTACTATACACAATATATCTTAAAAACTCTTACTTTGGAAGTGATCTCAAGATGACGCCAAAGCTCCTCGTCGTGTTTTCTTAAAAGCTGGGACAATTTTGTAATAGTTGAAATGAGAGTCGTAAAAGCTGGGACAATCTCAAGAATAACACATTTCTTCTAACCACTATTTGAATGAGAGTCGTGAAGGTGAGCTGTTGACGGTGGGCGTCGGAGGAGAGACGAAGAGGTGGGACGGTCGTTGACGGCGACGACGGTGGGCGTAGGAGGGAGACGGCGTCGCGGCAGCGGTGTGCGATGGAGGGAGACGGCGTCGCGGCAGTGGTGTGCGTCGGAGGAGAGAAGTCGATGTTGGACGGTCGTTGACGGCTGACGGCGACAACGGTGGGTTGGAGGAGGAGAGACGGCGAAATGGCGAAATGGCGTGGTGGTGGGCGAAAATCTGGTCGCGGCGAAAATGGGTCAAAAAAAATGGGTAGAAAAAATGGAGGAGACTGTACAGTTCTGAAGTTATTATTTTTGTTTTTATTACCTTTTACATCGGTGGATATTGCACCCGATGTCATAGCATGCCACGTATGTGCTATTACATCGGTGCATATTTCACCCGATGTAATAGCTGCCACGCGTTAATTTTTTTTTTGTTTTTATTACTTTATTACATCGGTGGATATTTCACCCGATGTAATAGCTGGCACGCGTTGATTTTTTTTTGTTGTTTTTATTACTTTATTACATCGGTGGATATTTCACCCGATGTAATAGCTTGCCACGCGTTAATTTTTTTTTTGTTTTTATTACTTTATTACATCGGTGGATAGTCCAACCGATGTAATAGCTTGTGTTGACACGCGTTGGTTTTTTCTGCTTTTTTTAATATATCTTTTATACTAAATCCAACGAGTTTATTACATCGGTGGAAAGTCCAACCGATGTAATAGCTTTCTTATATTTTTTTTAACGTTTTAGACACTTTGTCTCTTATTTACAAAAATGCCACCGTGTTTTTTTTTGTAAATCTTTTACATCGGTGGATGAGATTGCCCGATGTAATAGGTGACGAAAAAAAAAATTTCCTTATTTTTTATATCATTGTAAATAAATACCTGATGTAATAAGTATTTTTTACATCACATATTTTGATACCCGATGTAAAAACTTTTTCTGAAATGTCTTTTTTTAGTAGTGTGATCATAGAAATCCAAGCTTTCACTTGGTGGAGGAATAAGGCGATATACTTCATCATTAGCAAACGAGGCCATATTCACTGAGGGAGGTGTAGCATAGTGAACCTCATTTCTAGCAACAGGGGTAATGTGTGTAATACCCCAAATATGTCTTACCATTTTATCGAATCATCTAGATTATGCATTGTTGCACTTTTCTCATGTACATAACTCCATTAGGTCATCTAACACATCATTCATTCAAGTCTAGCCCAAAATTCCATCATTGGACCAAATGCGCAAGTTTGTACAAGTATATAAAGTTTTATTCAAGTTCGGAACAAAATGTACAAGTACAAGATATTTTATGGTACCAAGACATTATACCAAAGTTACAAAGAAACATCTCATTCCATCAAAATCCAAGTGTATTTCAAGACTTATTCAAAAGCAAGTAAAAATTCAAGCTTAGTTCAGGTGACTACATTTAAGCCCTCACTTCAAAAGCATGTCCATCTTCCAAATACCAAAATCATTATAAGTTTAAAACAAAACCGTATACATACAAAGAAAATTACACAAAAGTTTCACATGCTAAGCTACTGCATTTTTCTAAAAGTCTATTTCCCATGAGCCAAAGAAGTATCCATGAGTCTTGTTCTTTATCATGCATTCACGAAATAGTCCCTTCTTCAAATGATCATCCTACTTTGCACTTCTTCCTTTAGAGATCTAACTTTCTTCATTGACCTTCCTCATGATTCGAGCCAATTTGAAACATAGACCTTTGACACAACATTGCCAAACCTGCATGATGTATTAGTCCATGGTCTGCCGAATTATAACCAAATATCAGAAAAAAACCATGCCCTGCATATTAATCACAGAAAAACCATGAAGTTGAAATAGAACCAGTTGAAACAAAACTAGAAAAAATTGCAGTTTACGGACCGTGTGGACCCTGCGGTAATACGTCAAGGAAAAAAGTAGAAACAATTAATTCTGTCTACCAACATTCAGATAGGATTATGACTGTAACCAAGCCTCATTGGAAAAACTATTAACAAATTTCATAACAGGATTTCTAATCAATTTGAAACTAAACTGTCATATTTCCCTAAACTGTCCAGCAGAAAAACTTCTAACAGAACCCAAAACAACTTTCCATCCAACTATAACTAATTAACAACATAACAGAATTTCAACCAACCCTCTAACTGCAAACAGAAAACCTAACGGCAGTAACAAACTTCCCAACTAACTCCTAAAACATTCCCCAATAGAAAAATTTCCTAACCAATTAATCTTCCATTTTCCTGACTTCTTACTTGCCAAAAAACAGAAATCAATAGAAAAATCAACCTCTAACCAACTTTCTAACAATTCTAACTAACTATAAGATAGAATTTCTCACCTGATTCAGATCATTCTTCAATCTCTTGGAAGAATCAGAGAAAATCTCTGAAAAAATCTCTCTATTTCCTTCACCATCTTCACTCAATTCTCCAAAAACAATCTTCAACTCTCTGCATCATTCTCTCTGAGACTTCAATCATATCAACCTTCGTTCATCGTCATTCTTCATTCTCCTCAGAAGAATCATCAAAAAACACCTGAAAACTCTGAAAACCTCTCTCATTCTTTCTTCTCTGCAACTTCACCTCTCATGGTTTCAATTCTCTGAATTCCTCTGCAAAAGTTTCATCAAATCTTCATCGATCTTCATCATTCTTCAAACATTATGAAGAATCACCAAATCTCACAGAAACAAACTCAGAATTCTTTCTGCACTTCAATCATCACCATCGTTCATCACTTATGTAACACAGTGGTTTCATTCATCAACAATGGTTCAAAAAATGAAATAGAAGAAGAATGAACGAACCAACAAATTTCATAGCAAGGATTTAAAGTGCATACCTGAGTTGTTGAGGGATTTCTTCTGGTTTTATCATTTGAATCATCAATAGCAAAGACGCATCGAATGAACTTTCGATAAGTAAGCCCTAATTCACTTTACTTCTTCATTATTTTGTAAACATTGTTGTTGTTGTTGTGTTGATTTCACGATGCTGTAAGAGAGATGGAAGCAACAAATAGTTAAGATGGAGAGGAGAGGGTGATGTTGAGGCAAAATTTGAGATGATGTGCAAACTGAAGCATGAAGCAATGTGAAACAAATTTTGAGAGATGAGAGTTGTTGAACACCAATGATGACACAAAGAATAGAGACGAAGCAAGCAGAGTAGGAGAAGATTACCGCGACGTATTTCGTTCGCAAGCGGAGGGTGATGACTTTAGATAGCGAAATCGAAGATGAATCTTTGGAGAAAAAGGCGAAACACATAGGAGATTGCCGCTGTTGTATGTTTACAGAGAAGAAGGAATAAGTTCTTTCACGATTGGAGTCCAACAGACACAAACTCAACCCTAACCTCCTTGTATCCAAATGACAATGTTTTCCTCCTTTCTAACATCCACTTTAATTTTTTTTATTCATTCAATAAATCAAGAATAATTGGTTTTTGTTTGTGATATGGATTGGATTGAATAATACCAATAGATCAAGCCCAATGGCATTTTTTTATGTGCAGAAGCTAGTACCAAAAAAGGATATTGTGGACGTTATGTCTAATTAGCTTTAGCGCCCAACTTTTGTTGCTGATCATACTCCTTGTACCAGGCTTGCACTCCACTGTTCTACACTAATTCTCATCTTGTTCTTAAATTTTCAGCAATTAATTTTTAATGTTTCTTGTATGATTTTCGGCTGAAATTTGGTATGGGCCTTAACATGATGATTTATGACTTGATTTTATTTTTTCATAATTTTTTCTATTAGTTTATGAATTAATTGAATTAATGATTCGATACATGATTAGAATTAGGATTTTGGCGCGTTTTTGTCGGTTCTGTATCCTTGATTCAGTTTCCCTAGCATAATGAATGATTAGTGGTAGGTTACGATCCTTGAATGCGCGTTTGAGTTTTAAGTTACATTGCCTTATTATTTTATAACTCGTTTTGTGGATTTGTGTAAAGCTTCCAATGTATATTTCACGCATTGTGATATTTGCAGATTACTTTTGCATTGTATAGTTTTGTATCTTGTGCAGGACTATTTCATGACGATTCGGACGCGTGTAATTTATTTTCACATGGATGCTTTGACGCTTATATTTTATATATGATTTTCTAATTATTTCTCTTTGGTTGGTGAAGCTCGCACTAAGTTTTCCGGGTTTCTCTGCTTTGCATGCGGTGCTACGATCTTTTGTTCATTTGAATGCTTGGGGATTAAGTTGTTTGATCATTGTGCAAAGCAGCTTCTGTAGAGTTTTCTTATCGCTTGCATGGTTTTGAAGAGGCAACGGACCTTTTCCATTCTGTATCACCGTGACCTTATTTTATTCCTCATTTTCGCACTTTATTACATTTCTTTACCACTTTTCAAGATACCATGAGAAGTAGGAAATAAAGAGCATGCGCTTGAAGTCGTTGTTTAACGACCTGTAGTAGGCATTCCACACTTCATTTTCTATATGTGTTGTGCTTGTGTCTGTTTCTTTGGTTGTTGATCGATGAGTCACTCAATTTAGGAATTGAGATCACGACTTCTCTCTCAGTGCATTCCCCCTATAGGATTTTATCGCTTTCCTTTATTTCTCGTTGATCGATGAGTCACTCAATTTAGAAATTGAGATCACGACTTCGCTCTTATTGCGAGTTCCCTATAGGATAGTTTTGTTAGACTTTCTTTGGCATACTAACTTAGATAGGATCTCTCTAGGTGTGCACTCTTGAGCTTATTAGCTTGTTTTCTTTATCCTTGTACATACCATGTTCCCTTAGGACGTGCTTGCTCCCTTTGGACGCAATTTAGACCTTAGGTTGTAAACCATGCATGCTAACATTAGGTAGAAATTTCCCCTTTCATCCTTGACGTAGGGCTACCATTATGTGATAACATTAGGATTAGAAATAGGCTAGTCTCCCTTAAACTCTTTTCTTCCCCTTTTGTATATGCATTTAAAACTAAAACTTTATTTTTAGCAAATCAAAAACATGCTAATCACACTTAAACCCTTTTTTAAGAAACCAAAATACAAACCAACCCAAAAAAATTTGTGCGCTCGAGCACCTTTTCTCTAAAACCCTTTTCAGGTAAGGACATAGTTAATTTACTTATGTACCAACGCATGAGTCTCCAAAGGTCAAGTTGTGGCAGAAGGCGGAATTAACATTGTCCATAAAAAACACAAATAAACAAAACATGTGAGCCAAATTGTGGTAACTCTGATTCCTCAAAAAGGATACGTAGGCATTGGGGTAGGGCCCAAGCGAGTACAACTTTATTTTCCCTACATTCTTTTCTCCTTTATTTTGCATGCATTCTCCCTTTAGCAGTAATAAACAGTAAGCATAGATTAAACACACCCATATAATAGATAACAAGAGTGGATACCGTAGAGTACTACGGGCATGTGGGGTGCTAATACCTTCCCCTCGTATAGCAGACTACCTTAACCGATCTCTCGGTCGCAAGACCGTGACTTATCCCTTCTCAGGTTTTCTCAATGTTTACCTTTCCCTCCATATGGGATAAAAGACGTTCGATGGCGACTTCATTGTTTGATGATTTTTAGCCGGTTGTTTCAGCTGGCGACTTCACTAGGGATAGGTCGACCAAATGTTGGTCCATCACGGAGTCGCTCTTAGCTCTTGTTTCCTTTCTTTGGGTGTTTATTTTTATGCTTTTTGTTTATTAATTCATTTTGTATATACCTGAGCATATGTATGCATCGCATTTTACTATTTTCCATATACTACTACTGTACTGGATCTGCTTCTTGTTGGGTGTGTGTTACTATGAGGTAAAAGGACCAATATCCAAGCCAGAGTTGTATACCATAGGAACCCTAGGAATATAGTGGAACATGAACGTCTAGTTGACTTAGGTCTCACTATCTCTGCCATGTCGTCCATGCTCGGATGAGGTACAAATGAGGGGCTATCATTTTCACGTAGGTGATACAGTGATAGTTTTTCAGGAGTACCCTCGATTTTGAGTTACCCGACCTTACCTTGACCTAGTTTTCACTCGTGAATGGGGAGGGAATTATCATCACATGTACAAATGGTGACTATGTTCAGATGGTTACCCATGTTCAGATGGTGACTATACTCAGACAATGACTATTGGTTCTAATGGTTATATTTTGGATTTCTGTTGGTGACTTATTTAAATGCTATATTCTATTGGTGACCATATGGTTCTTAGATTTATTTTATGAGTCCCTGACTTGTTTACTTGGAGGTTCATTCGGGCCTTCGATCTTGGTACTCCCAGCACGTTCATAAAAGGCTCAACAATATCCAATTACAGTAGCCTTGATCATGTACTATTGATAATCTACATGGTACTTGGTTCTTATATATCCAGAAGCTATGTCGGACCTTTGATCTGATACTATCCATATGGTTCAGAACAGTGCAACAATCATATTCAGAAGTGATAGAACTTTTATCCCATTTGATCCCATGTCTTTGCATAAATAACATGGTTACCACATGCTCAACATACATGTTCTGTTATTTCCAGGGAATCATATTTGTAAGCCTTATGTTAAACCTTTCCATCCCTTACTTGCATGAAATCAAAATCAAAGCACATAAATTCCTTGGAAATGACGGAACATGACATGGAATCCGTTCATGCACCCCATGAATACGCATGCATTCATGAGAGGTATTCAAAGATTGGGGATTCTTATTCAGACCTGGTGTTCTCCTAAGAGGTTCAAACTTGATTTCTTGCTTCACATGCTCAGGGATCAGTTATTGAATAACTCCGTGTGGTATACATGCAAGCTTTGGCCCGTGGTCAGAAACTTCTTCGAGCAGGAAGATAATTAATTGAATACTCAGATAAGCCAGGTCATGGAAGCTCTGATGATGATGTCAATAATCTTGCACCTACTAGTACAGTAGAGGTTCTTTCTTCTCCTCATCTTTTGGGAAACGCTTTCAACCAAGGAGTGTTATACAATCTTGAGTTCTTGGAACATCTTATCAGCGGACGGTTCCCATTTATTATGGGATCTTATATCAACGCTTCATTCTTATTGACCAACATCAGATGTGGTTATCACACTAGGGCATCCGAATATTCAATCAGGGACACTCTCCATAACTTTACGTTCCCTGATCTGTTTAACAACAACCAATCTTTGTTCCCCTAGTGAATTCATGGGAAAAAGCTTTTAAGCAAAAACTGAAGAAGCCTGATGAGCATGTTGATGTGATCCCAATGCATTACATCTAATTATTTCCTCGCCTGGTGGAAGTTAATTGGTAAAGCTCTGATCTTTGGTGTCCTTTTCCCATAAACATCTCTTCTGATTGTGATGCATATGCTAGATGTATCCCCTATTCTGGGGCACCTGATTTTGATATCAAAAACTGCAAAGGGGTTGAAGTGTAAAGCCCAACACCTGTCCGACGTCTCTTCCAAAAGTCTAATTCCTATTTGGCCAACTACCAGACTCTTTCTCACCAGGTGGATGCTTCTGTTCTGATAGAAGACAGACTGTATTATTTCTATATGGCATAATATTCTTAGTGATGCAGTTCATACTGATTCACTTGGTAAAGAATTCATTTGCTCT